GGAGCCAAAGGTCTTTCTCGACCCTGACTTTGAGTGGATCACGGTCGGACAGGAGACCTTGTACCTCTCCAGATTTCGCCAAGGCATTCAGACTCTCCTGGAACGGGTCGAGGAGAAGTACCTCCTGCTCACCCAAGGTCGCACCATGCTAGAGGGGCTGCCCACCCACGTCGCAGATGACATGACCAACTCCATCCGTGGCCATTCCTTCGCCAACGACAAACAATTTGACTCCCTTAGGCTGGAACTTTTTTCTCACCTGATCGAGATCCATCACTTAGCCATGGTGGATCGGGAAGGTCGTCTTGCCTGGGACGTGCCAGCAGTAAAGGACATCCTTCGCCGTACGGGCGAGGTATGGAAGCCGCTGTACCACCTGCTCTATATCACAACGCAGGTATCTACTAGAGCAGTGCAATTTTTGCAACACCAAATCGCCAATGCCGAGCGACACCGAAACGTCTTTGTTCAGGGTCAGGAAGTCGTTCTCTTGTCTGGCTACAGCAAGACCTCCCAGATTACTGACAGAGATCCTTGCACTCCTGCGTTCGTCCATTCAAAATTGGGAAGGTGGGTGGTGGAGTTCCTCGCCGGAGGGCTAAGGCATGCAGAATCTCTCTTGGCATACGTCGCATATGGGGAAAAGGTTCAGCATGAATACAATAGGTGGGTTTCCTAGTCGCTGCATCGTGCTCATTCTCACCTGATTACAGCTTCCTCGTCATGGACAACGGCCATCGAATCAACCCTGACGAGTGGTATGCAATATTCACACAAGTCAACCGAGAGTATTTCCAGTGCGCCTGGGGTGTGCGAGACTTCAGACAAGGTGCCATTGCCATGGCTAGGGAATTCATCTCTCCCAACCACGCGTTCTCTCTTGCCGATGACCTCCTGGCTGAGGGTGCAGACCACTCTACGCACATTGACCACATCCATTATGGCACCGTCCACGGCGCTGTCCCTGAACTTACCAACAATGTCATAGCGAAGCATCGCTGGCTGTCAGAGGAATGGCACACATTCTGTGGCCTCGGTCCTGGCGACCCCCAGGCGCCCATTCGAATGCGAAGGTCGACCAGGGCATCTGCATCATCCTCTTCAGTCGACGTCTCGGCCATTTCTGAGGTTACCTCAACCACCGTCCGTGTGGTATTGGATACTTACCTGCAGGAAAACTTGGTGCCACTACTCCGTGACGCCATCACCCAGAACATCTTGCCCTCCATCCTCCATGCTGTGCAGAGCCCTGTTCCTGCTCCTGCAACGGAATCTGCTATTGGTACTGGACGACGTGCCCCAGTTCCGTCGGAAGGTATGCATCCAGTACCGCTCACCAATCTAAGCTAACTTCAACTAAGTTATAACGTATATGGGTGACCCTGCCTCGAACAACGCCCAGCATCCCACCAGATTCCCTACCCAACCCTCATCCTCATCCTCATCTTCCCGTCTCACTAACCCTTCTACTGCTCCTGTCAGTCAAACAACTGGGATGCCCACTCAGTCTTCATCCTCTTCTTTACGTCATGCTTCGTCCCCGTCTTCCTCTTTACGTCTCGCCTCGTCCTCATCCTCCTCTTTACGCCTTGCCTTGTCCTCCTCCCCTAGTCCTGCCGCTCCTCCCGTAACTCCAGTCCGTCAAAAACGGCCTCGTATTCAAGGATCATCAAGCCAGTCAAACGGTAGAGGTGGACCTATTCAGTCCCCAAAACGCATTCGACTAGCGACCTCTTACCTTGATGCCACGGACTTACACGTCAAACAAGAAAATCACGGGAAATCTCTTGCAGCGGCTTCCTCTTCCCAAGCAGAGGGTCTATTGACTGACGATGATCGAGACTCCTGTTCATTCCGTAAGGAGGCTTGCTCCTCTCAGCTTGACGATCTAATCATCATGGACGAAGACGAAGAGATAGAGATTCTGACTCACTTTTCCCAAGAAGAGGATGACGGATGGACGCAGAAGGTGCGAGCTGCGTTTAGACAGCTGTTTAAAGACCCTGCTGCCAAAGAAAGGTCTCGCGAACAGTGCAAGGCTATCATGAGCGTCATGAGTACTAAAAAGGACACCATCATCACCCTCAAGACAGGAGGGGGCAAGAGCGCTCTATGGATGACTGCCCCTCTTATTGATCCCAGCCAGCGCTGTATTGTTGTCTGCCCATTTGTCGTTCTCCTAGAGGAACAAGTAGAAAAATGCCTGCAATTCGGGCTGAGGGCACACAATTTTACCAAAGATAAGAACGTTCCCCTCGACGTTCAGATCCTCTTTGTGCAGGTAGAGAGTGCTTCTTCCAAGGCGTTCCAGGTGTACGTGGCCATGACTTGATTGACCGCTGTCTTGACCTCACATCTTGTTTGTATTCAGCTTCATAGCATCGCCCCAGGGATCTTCCTTTACGAAAATGTTTGTTGACGAACACCACGACATCCTGGTGTGTCATCCTGATCGCAAGGAACCATGGCATCGTCTCGCTGCACAATTTTCCAGGTGGCCAAAGCAAATCAACTTGCTCTCCGCGACGTCCCCCCCAGCCAACACTGCTGCTTATTTGAAAGTCTTTTCGCTGGAGCTCAACGAGGTTCTCATATATCGCACCTGCACAGATCGCCCAGAAATAGGTCTTCATGTCCTGCGCGTCCTTCCAAACCGTTTCAAGGCATCCCTCCAGTCCCTCGTGCGCCATCTGCAGTTGAAGATGAGCGGATCAGATCGCATGCTGGTATTTTTCAACTCAAACAAAGAGGCAGATAACTTCAGCACCACAATCCAATGCGCGGTCTTTCACAGTGACCTTCCCACTATGGGAGGAAACACAAAAACGCATAACCTCACAAGGTGGGATAGCGGAGAGACCAAAGTCATGGCGTGCACCACTGCCTTTGCTCAGGGAGTAGACCGAAGCTCAGTGTGATTCGTGGTGATAAGCGAGGTTGAGTATGGTCTTATGGTAGTGAACCAGATGTCTGGACGTTCCGGACGCGATGGACGCGAGGCACATACGTTTTATCTCACTCAGAAAACAAGTCTGTCCTCGTTCGAGAGCGACCAAGACTACCACTGCATCAAAGGTTTGGATGACGTCCTATTTAACAATGACTGTCGCAGGTATACCTCCATCAAGTGTATGGACGGCAGGGGTTTTGCATACCGTTGCAATGACAGGCCAGGCGTGGTGAAGTGTGACGTCTGCGATCCTGCCAGCGAGATGCAAGGTATTGCCTTGCGAGCGATTAAGGATGCATCGTTGCAACCTTCCTCATCTGCAACAAACACCACTCCCAAGATTCTGGTCCCTAGCTCATCTCAACCCTCTCAACCTACTTCCTCTCAACCTACTTCCTCTCGACCACCTTTCTCTCGACCGTCTTCCTCCCAATCATCTTTCTCCAGACTGTCGTCCTCCCAAGCATCCTTCTCAGGTGACTGCGATGCATTGTTCGGAAAGGTTCCCGAAGTAACTTGTCAAATGGAGAGAGCGCTCGATGCTATGGAGGCCGCTCATACCCCACTTGGTCTTCAATGTGCCGTCAACCTTTCTGGCAGGGTTCAACCAACTCACCACTCAGTGATGCAATTCCATTATGTCTTTTGATGCAGTGCTGACGTACCGTCAAGTTTTCTCAACCAATAGCATCCAAGGCGTTCAAGGCACCACCCCCTCCCTCATCACTTCCAGCTCCTGCACCATCGTCATCCACCAGGAGTGCCAGAGTGACTGCAGGTCTTCACGGTCGATTGGACCGCACGTTGCTCCTTGACAGGTACATGAGGAGGTTGCAGAATTGTTGCCCCGTCCATTTTGTCATCGACTGCCAGGTCCATGCAAAGGGTGCGTGCTCCTCGGGAAGCAACCCCCTTGACTCGATGTACTATAACTTCAAGGGAAGTTTTACCTTCCAACGGTTTACTTACTGCTTCAAATGCGCCCTCCCCCAAAACTACAACCACAACAAAGAGGAGCCATCGTGCCACTCTCAGGTCCGTTACGAGAAAGGAGTACCCCAGTGTCCCTTTGCAGGTTTCATCTTTGAAGCGGTATACTACATTTGGAAGTCAGGTAAAGCTCACCATTTGGCTGGGACTTTGGGACGACCCACTGGTTGGGTCAGCTTCGAGGAGTTCGTATCTTGGGTGAATGAAGAGGAAAAGGACCAGGGAAGGTACATCAACCTCTTGGAGCTTTTCATTGCTTTTTGCAAGAAGTTGGAGACGTCAGACCGTAATTTTTTCCAGTAGACCGCCTTGCCGCAGAGTTTAGTAGCATGTAGTTGCAGGAGATTATCAGACTTGTTCATCGCAAGTAACTATCAAGTGGGGGGACAAAATCTCATCATACCGGTACATTTTTTCCATGTGTTCATTCGATGACGTCGGGCGGGCAAGAAATACAGCTTCTCATAATGCAGAGGAAGGACGATGCGTTGTACAGTAGAACGGAGACCACTCGGAGACGTTGGGATAGGTACGAGCGCTCAATGCGTTTGGTTCGTTGAAATGACGACTCAATCTACCAGGCCGTTGTCAGAACACGCAGTGGCAGGCTCACGAGTAGCTTGCATTACAACGACAACTTGAGCGACGGCCTTGGAAAACACGCCTCTCAGGCCACGCTCGAGTAGTTCTTTGCCACAGTGTTGTTATTAACCCGGGTTATAACTGAATAGGTTATAACTGGTGCGTCTTGATTTGAATTAACCGCGAAATAACTGGGGTTAATGCAGACTCCTACCCATCGCGTGGGAGGTAAGTCTACATCGTAGAGCAGCCACTTTGTCAATAGAACCATACAATTATATAATCATTTTAAGCGACAATTTTTGAGACAACCTCCCCACAGCGACTGGCATAACTTGTTGTGGCATCAATTGTTGGCCTTGTTTGTCCCCCACCTGAAGGGCGCACAAAACGTACGCGAGACCATAAGCGAACCTCCGAGCGCGTGAAACGGCGGGATCCCGTTTTAGTAAATCAGAATCTCATTCCGTCATTCATTATGTCTGCTCTACAGTACGACATCCCAGACGACGCGACAATCAAAGCCATGGTCGAGAGAAGATACAACATCAGACCATGCAACTTTCAAATTCAATCTGCAATTGAGCAGCTTAAGTGCAGAGATGTCATTACTGTTGCACCCACTGGAGCGGGAAAGACATTGACGTTCTGGATCCCTCTTCTATTCACCAGCAATGCGGTCATGATTGTTATCACAGCTTTGAATGGCCTTGGAGACCAGAATGTCGAGGAGTTGAATATGCTTGTTCTTACCTGCATTAATGTCACTGGACAGAACGTGAGCGATGAATTATTCAAAGTAAGCACAAGTTTATTACAACATCAGCACTCTGTCTCATTGGATTTTAGGAAATCGAGGACCTACGTTACCGAGTGGTTATAATCAGTCCAGAGCTTGTCATATCTGACAAGCGTGTCGAGAAGTCATTGTGGAAATCGAAGAAGTTCATCCCATACTTATTTAATATCACCATCGATGAAGGACATTGCATCAGTGAATGGGGCAAAGAGTTCCGCCCAGAATATAGTCAACTTGGTCGGCTTCGATGGATCCTTCCCTCTCACATAAAATTTCACGTTGTCTCAGCCACTATGCCATCGAGGATCCTCAAGGACGTGATGGCAACTCTGAATATGCGACACGAAAACATTACAAAAATCCGGCTATCAAATGATCGTCCTAATATTCATTTGGTTGTTATTGAGATGCAGTACTCCACAAAGAGTATGCACGATATCAACCGCGTACTTCGGCTTGAGAAGGAGTTTCCTCCACCGAAGTTCTTGATATTCTGCAATTCCCGGCGTGAGACGCAGCGGGTGGCCATGTTCCTACGAGGTCAACTGTCCTCTGATTTCCAGGAAAGGATTGTGTGGTTTCACTCAGGAATGACTGCAGAGTTCCGTGCAAGCACTCTTGATAAGCTTCGAAAGGGAGAAGTATGGGGCATATGCTGTACCGATGCAGCAGGAATGGTTCGTTATTAGCGCCACCATCTTAAATCAAGTCTAAACTGATGTGTTGCTCACTTTCGTAGGGTTTGAATATCTCTGATGCCAATGAGGGCGAGGAATGATAGCTGCATGCTAGGGGGAAGAGTGGGAAGTGGGCTCTCAAGTGCTCCTCTGGATATGAGTGGAAAGTTGTCCCAAGGGGATTGCTACTGAGAAAGATTCCTCTAGTGAAAGGTGAGGGGGATCTATAACCAGCGGTTTGGTCTCGAAGCCTGAATGGGACTCTGAGGCAAATAATGCACCCAAAAGCGAAGTGCGCTAGCTAAAGGCGCCTAAACGTGCTAATAAGGCGGAAAGTGCGGAAAAGCGTGCTTCAATGTCAAAGCGCACTTTGTGCGATCACAACGGAGTGCTTCGAGTAGAGATGACAATCACATGGGGGAATCAGGACTTTGATAGCTGTAGAAATAGACACTTAAAGGTGTCAAAGCGCCAATAGGAAGGAAAACCGGTGTATTCTGATAGAAACTCGAGCTTTACACTTCAATGGTAGTGGAGCGGAAGTAAGTGACAGGAAAACAAACATGGTGACGTGTAGGTATGCTAAGCGAGTTCCCATGGCTTGGAGCTGAATAGGAAGTACTAAGGTAAATGGTGAGGTAAGTCAGGGTCCATAACGAGATATGATGATAAGTACTAGTGCCTGCATGACGGAGTATGAGTTCTGAAGAAGGGAAAATGCACCAATGGACCTTGGAGGACTCGGACAGGACATGCGGAGGGCAGGCGACGGATCCTAAGGAAATGCGACAAAGTGCACTGTAACGCGCTCGAACACACTTGAATGCGCTGGTACGCGCCAAAGCGCGCGTTGCGTGGAAGTCGTATGAGAAGCGCGTTGTAAGGATATCGAGTGCGTCGTGAAAAGCCGTGAATTTGGCCCATATGAGCCTGGAGAAACGTGAGTCTCTACACTGAGCTAATTATCCAGTGGGGCTACGTGAAGAGCTTATGCGTGCTGATGCAGCGGCTTGGTCGTGCTGCTCGTAGCCCACGTGCAGAAGCTACTGGTGTATACATTATTGATAAAAATTATCGCAATAAGGCAGGAAAGGTCAAAACAAAGGCAGGCAACAAATGGAAGTCTAACTCACAAGGGGGCTCAGCAACCAAACGGACGCGGGTCATGGTCAATGAGGATCAGGAGATGGAGGGGGGGGGCTCATATGGATCATCATCTAGATAGCGAGAGTGATAACTTGGACAGTGAAAGTGAATCGGAGGAGGAAACTGTCACTCAACTAAGTGAGGCCCCCACAGGCCAGGCAAATAGACCTTCAAAACTTCTTCCTTTCTCATCTGGACTCAGTGAAGATGAGTATGAAATGGCCGCAATGGAGGTGTTCCTGGAAGCACACAGGTTATCGGTGTGCCGGCGCAAGGTTGCAAATGAATATTTCGGGAATGATTTAATCAGTACGTGCTTCATGGCCTGCTGAACATGCAATATGATTGCTTACTTTTGTTAGAACCTGATGACGCCAACGTTCAAAATTACTGTTGTGAGCGTTGCGAGAAACGTTCTTGCACGCCTTGGCTTTGTTGTGACATGTGCAATCTGGAGGCATTCTTGCTGTTTTATGTCGCACCTCCCCCAAAAGCAAGCAGCAAGCGCAAAGTCAAGATCTCTACTAGCTATAAAATGTTGCAGGCCGACTTTTCCCTCCGAGTTGACTTACTGAAATGGCGTGAACAACAAGCTGTAGAGGAGGCTATAGATGATGATTTATTTGGTCCTCAACTCATTCTATCAGACTCACTTTGGATCATATCCTGGCTCTTTCTCATCACGCTAAACTACCAGATATCAATGCACTCAGGGATCAAACAGATTGGGTTTATACTCAGGAGTATGGGGAGATGATACTGGGCCTCATTTGCAAGCATTTCCCTCCTCCAGCCCCCTCCAGCCATTCAATACTAATCAGTTCCCATATACTGGTCAACGCACTGGCAAATGCAATACCATCTGCATCCTCCACCTCAACATTAGCACCACAACAAACTGGTGCCAACGGAGTAGCACCTAAGAAAGCACGTAAACCAACTCAGTGCTCAAAGTGTAAAGCCTATGGGCATAATTGTACGTTCTCTTGCTATGTCTCAATGGATTGCTGATCATTTCTTCCATCATGAAAAGCTGCCAATCAGAACTGTCCAATGTGGGCCCCAAAGCAGCTGCGTCAATCAAACAACAAAAACGAAGCCCCTCATCCTTAATTCTCTTCCAACAATCCTTATCCTACTACACTTTCTCTGGCGAAGGCTCTATCACTACCATCATTAATCACCTATTAGATCATCCGCAAAAACCCCGTCACCCTGTTCATCACCTTCACCCTCTTTAATTCCTTCTTTGTATTGCATCAGCAACTCTATTCCTGCAGCAATCCAGTTGCAAACCGCATAGTCAGCGGTCCTACCTGCTTTGGTTTTGTGTGGTGAGCATTTCTGTATTTCCTGCTTGAGTTCCTCTAGTGTTTTCACCATGTTGGGTGGCGCATGCTTGATGGTGCAGTTTTGGAGGTGAAACCCATTCTCAACCATAACGTGACATGCTTGGTATAACTCAATCAGTGGCAATTCTTGAATGATATGTTGAATTGTTCTGTTCGAGCCCTTGCCAGCAAAAATCACCTAGAGGTCCAATTCAATTTTTACTTGGCTGCTGTAATGTGTTTCACGCTCATGCTCACCTTCGTATACAGATTGTTCCGTTCAACAAGCCAGTCGACAGGACAAAACTTGAATGCTTGTCCCGTCGGGTTGCATAGCCAATTCAGACGTATTATTTGCCTGGTAAGATGTTGCTTCTGGTAAGTGTACGGCTTGACTGACCAGTGAATGTGTACCTTAGGTCTGTTGTATATACATAACACATGTAAATCATGAAGCGTGTCATCTGATACGCATATTTGGGTTTTCCTGTCAACTTGAACATGTAGATCCATGGCAATATTGAAGCCTCAACGCGACCGATGTCTCCCGAGTTCATTGCATGACACAAGTCGACATACAGTAGTTCATCACGGTTCTGCAGTGTTTGGTTTTCAAATCGCCAATCTCGCTCCTTTGCTGGCAGTTGGTTTGCACTGCTTACTGTCTTGGAGGTTGCGATATACTTCTCCACAATACTTTCTGACATCTCGACTATCATCTCTGGCATTGGTTTTGATTTTGCAAATGCTTCAAGTGAGTCCCATGAGCTATTCCTCTCTGAAGCTTCTGTCTCCCAGCAGTTTAGGATGGATGCCCATAAGTCATGGTGAACAACATCATGCATACGACGGAAGCCAGGATTTGTACTGAATTTTCCACTCTCATGTGGCCTCAATACTCCAACATGCTGGAATAGACTATTCATGTCGTTCCTCCCCTCCTTCGGCTTAATCCATATACGCCACAATGCATCTGCGCACGCCATTTTGAAGTGGAAAAGACCAGGGATGAAAACAAGGAATTCGAAGCAGTGTTTTGGTGTGTCCTCTATTGAACGTGCTTCATGGATTGCATCCAGACGCTCCTTGGTCAACAGGTCGCCATGAATGAGGATAACGTGCTCCGACATGTCAACATCATAACATGGATCAAAGCCAGCAGCTTGAGGCTCACCAATACCCCCCTGCTTAAACAAACTATCTATGACATTGATGTTGCTGTCAATAGTGGATTGTTTTATCTGCATCGCACAACAAGGTATCTGGATTGTTTTGTTCAAGGGAATTGCAGACAGGATGTCCGGCTGACCATGGTGCGGCTTTAGGAAATCGAAGTGATCTCCATGACCGATGAGAATATCTCAGACATGCCAGGCAAAGTTCTGCATGCCGGGTGACAGGCGCTGGTCTTGTGCCTTCTTGTGAAGGTATCCTCCTTGTGGAAGATGTGTAGGTCTTTGAGTGTGAATTTTCCTGCCGCGATGGAGCTGCTCACATCACCACTTTGTTCACACAGCCGGACTGCCGCTGCACACTGCAACTGCATGGAATTATTGACACCAAACAACGGAATTGCTGTTGCCGAGGTTGAGCTGATGAATGTTGATTGTTGTTCAACAGTGGGCTGAGAGGTTTTGAAGTCGATATCAAAGTTGTCATATGCGAGTGCCGTTTGCAAGGTGTGTATGGATTGTTTAATGTGGATACCAGCTTCGACTGACAGTGACACTACTGCCTTTTCGATAGATGAGATGCTCACAGAAAGGCTGGCATGAGCAAGTAGGTCAATAACCTTTGCTGGAGTTCCTGTTGAATGGGCAAAGATGCCCAGGATACTTTGTAGCATGTTGCATCGCTCGTTCGTGCTGTGTGCAAAGATGCATGCGCAAATGACCAACTTCTGTGGTTCGTCTCAGCATTTCTCTAAGGTGATGTTTTGGTTGCTTACAATTAGCACCAGTGCTGCATTCCGTTTGCCAGCATTGCGCCAATGCTTGCGCAGCTTTTCTCTCTCCACATCAAGCTCCTCACTGTCACCCTCGCCCATGGCATCATCGTCACCCCCAATATCACCTAAATCTTGCTCTGGCTCCTCGTCTCCTTCTTCGTCGAGTTCTCGGACAAGTTCATCAAGTTCAGCATCATTCATATGTCGCGCCGTGTGGGGTTCGCATTGAGAAGTGAAAATATGAGATGAAAGAGATTTGGTGTGATTTTTTTGATCTTCTGTGCTAGAGTTCTCATGAAAGAGTCCTCTAGCTGTGAGGATGTTGCTGTTGTAGCACCAAAGTGAAGACCACTCTGCTCTTGCGACAACTCGAGCACCTCATCACACAAGATTTTCATAACAGCATCAACAGCGCGCGGGAGGTTGCACCCATGAGGATCCTCTGATGTGAGTAGCCAGGTGAGGAAGTGAGTACTGTTTTCTTTGAGTGTTGTCTGCACATCTTGGTGACTGACATCTTTGCTAGAGATCACTGCCTCCACGACGTCCGACAATGAAAATCCATTGTCACGTATGTTTTGGAGGACATTATTTAAACGAGTCTTGATGGAGACAGGCATTGAGTCATGCAGCTGGGAGGGGGACAAAAATTTACATTTGTCAGATCATTATGTTTTCTATACAGTTAATACGTATCATACACTGCATGCTACAGTTGAAATATGTCTATGAGCGACGAGATTCAGACTTACCAAAACGGGATCCCGCCGTTTCACGTGCTTGGAGGTTTGCTTATGGTCTCATGTACGTTTTGTGCGCCCTTCAGGTGGGGGACAAACAAGGCCAACAATTGACGCCACAACAAGTTATGCCAGTCGCTGTGGGGAGGTTGTCTCAAAAATTGTCGCTTAAAATGATTATATAATTGTATGATTCTATTGACAAAGTGGCTGCTCTATGATGTAGACTTACCTCCCCACGCAATGGGTAGGAGTCTGGGGTTAATGGGGTTAAAAACAATTATTGTGTTGTGACGTCTGCCTTCGGACTGGATCGTATCGCAGAATCGGGAGACTCGGAAGTCGCGTTATCTGAAACATTTACTTTATCAGCTGCCTATTCTAAAGTATCACAAGCCTAGCACCTTACCTAGTATAAGACGAGTCGCTCCTCGTTGTTTGTATCTTTGGCATTCTTGAATCTACTTGACTTGTATCTGGTTATTTGAGCATCTTAGTAATCCCTTGTGCCACATCTGAAAGCCTTTGCACCTGGGTTTCCCAATAAGTAAGCCTTACTATAGTGGTCTATTACGTGTTGTACCTACTATTGTTAGGCTTTGTTGTACTAATACTCAACACCAGCGTTATATACTGTCCCAAATACTCCAGGACTCCTGCTATTTTGTGTACACTGCCGGTAAGCAGCTCGGCACTGTCCTCCCACCTATACTATCCAAATGTGTCATCCCGATGCGCCCTGCTATGCGCCTAACCTTCCGAAATCGGCAAGGTACTGCTCCCACGCCCCTTGCCCTTCTCCACCACCACTGCCACTGCTGTCTACCACCCCACCATAGGCATCGACGACGCCTTCTACACTTTTAGCTACCACCACTATGTGGCACCGTCTGCTTAGCCATGCTCTACCATTCTGGACACCAGCCTTGTCTCTTGAGGATGTCACCACCAACCTCCTCGTCTCTCAAGGATGCTACCACCAGCCTTGTCTCTTGTGTCAACTTCACTACTGAAGGTGTGGATGAGTTTATGTCGTCTACAATGAATATCGACAGTCAAGACTTAATCAGTAAGATGGAAGGATTTGCTGTTCAAGGCATGAAAGGTCTGTTTCGTCCTGCTTGATTTCTTTTCACTCATTAGGTGCGGCAAAAAATCATCAAAAGCAGTGTTCTGCAGTTCGCTCAGCAATCCGCCATGAAATTGGCAAGAGACTTGGTGAGTTTATTTGAGCACATCATTTTGTACTACTCTAACTATTATATCGTCCAGTTGAAATCACTAAGGACGAAGATGCGAAGATGCACTGGACCAACTACTTTCGAAATGTCATCCAATGCTACCAAGTGATCATCGAAGGTTGGCCTACCAACATTCCTTTCACCAACTCAGCAAAGTGTCAAGCACCCTTCCTGACCTTGACATGCTTTTGCGAAAGTGGTGGTCTAATGCCATCAAATGGAGATGAGTTGATGACGAGGAGTTTCAACAACTCCTCAAAGAACGCAACAAGAGCCTTGAAAATGGCGAGCTCATTGAACACCGCCGGCGGACTCGCTCAGATAAGGGAAAGAAGCGGGCACGGTCTCCAGACACATATGGAGAGTCAAACCATCGCAAGAAGACCTACAAGAGTGTTGAGACTGTCGATACAGATGATCAAGATGAAGAGCCCACTGAAGAGACTTCAGCTAACAACATCGACACTGATGATGCCAGCGCCAACACGAACATCAACACTGACGACACCGGTGCCGATACTGACACCAACATCAACGGCAATACTGATGCCAACCTTGGTGCCTTTGACAACGTGAATAACGGTGCCTTGAACTTTGATCCTGCTACCTACAACCTTAATTTTCTTCCTCCCAGTCCTGCAGCCACTAACCGCACTACTCTTGCTGCCAATGAGTTGATGGATCCTGATATTATGTTGGCAAATTTAGATCGTATGTTTGGGCCGCCACCAGCGCCTCACCAGTTGTAGTTGATAGATGCATGGTTTATCACTCTTGCTCTGAATACATTGATGCATTTTTCATGGTATTAAGCCCCATACAGTCAGCTACATCATTGTGCCTATATGATAGTAAAAATTCACGGTACACAAAGACAAGTCCTCAAACTCCATCAAAGGTACTGGTTCCAGGTCAGTTTCCTGCCCTGCATTTGAAGTAACCATGGTAGTAGGGACTAGACAGAGACGAGGTTGGTGGTACATTCTTGAGGTATGAAGGTGGCGTCCTCGAGACGAGGCTGGTGGTAGCGTCCTCGAGAGACAAGGCTGGTGGTGGCATCCTCGAGAGACGAGGCTGGTGGTAGCGTCCTTGAGAGACGAGGCTGGTGGTGGCATCCTCAAGAGATGGGGCTGGTGGTAGTGTCCTTGAGAGACGAGGATGGTGGTGGTGTCCTCAAGAGACGAGGCTGGTGGTAGTGTCCTCAAGAGATGAGGCTGGTGGTAGCATCCTTGAGAGATGAGGAGGCTGGTGGTGACGTCCTCAAGAGACAAGGCTGGCGTCCAGAATGGTAGAGCGTGGCTAAGCAGACGGTGCCACATAGTGGTGGTAGCTAAAAGTGTAGAAGGCGTCGTCGATGCCTATGGTGGGGTGGTAGATAGCGATGGCGGTGGAGAAGGGCAAGGGGCGTGGGAGCAGTACCTTGCCGATTTCGGAAGGTTAGGCGCATAGCAGGGTGCGTCGGGATGACACATTTGGATAGTATAGGTGGGCGGACAGTGCCGAGCTGCTTACCGGCAGTGTACACAAAATAGCAGGAGTCCTGGAGTATTTGGGACAGTATATAACGCTGGTGTTGAGTATTAGTACAACGAAGCCTAACAATAGTAGGTACAACATGTAATAGACCACTATAGTAAGGCTTACTTATTGGGAAACCCAGGTGAGCCTTCGCTTATCACATCTGTCACATATTTTTTAACCTTCAACAAGCTTAACCCCTACACTTGTACTTGACCCAGAACTCTGGTCTGATCCACCTGTCGTCCTACATCTAGGCAACTTCTACCCAATCAACATGTCTACTACTACCATTTCACACATCCCTCGGTACCAGCTGCGTCAGACACGTGCACGCAAAGCTACTGCCGAGAAGACCAACACCTTCTCTACCAAAGAGGCCGGCCCTCTTAGGACGAACAGTGAGTCTGCCCTTTCATCTCTAGTCTCGGCTCTGGGAGACGACCAGCCTCATGCTACGTCTCCTGCGTATTCCGCCGGAAAGTCCGCTCGCTCCTATAGTGATGTACTCATGGCGCGTATGCCTCCGATGCCTGGTGCACTCGGGGAGACCCCCATTCGTTCAATGAATGAGACAATGGAGACCACGCCCTTCGGGGATGGGACCCTAGACTGAGTAGAGTCTACAGAGGTAGACACTCCTGTTGGTAGAGATACAATGAATGAAGGAAAGAAACCTTCCTTCAAAATCCCTGAAGACCATGTGAGTCTGTCCAAGGAAAGGTCCGAGGACACTGGTGACGACCAGGATGGGATATGGACCACGATCCATAAGAAGCGTGCAGTGCGCACACATGAGGTGACCCGAAAGAGGGCGCATTCGCAAAACCTGACCCAGGAACAAGCAAACCTGGTAAAGAAAGCTGAAACTCAGTTAACCGAGTCCGAGAAACGCCGCATTAGAGCTAGGGATAAGGTACCTAGCTGACCTGCCGATGACAGCAGTTCTGAGTCCCATGAAGCAGGACCATCTAAGGACAAAGGAAAAGTACCAGATCCTAGGAATTGGGGCAATGCCAACCTCAGTAATGAGGATGTTGACCTGGAGGCCCAATGTGCCGCCCTAGCATTGTACCGAGCAGCATGAGCAGAGGCGTTGGACATTGGAGCCCAGGAGGAGGTGCTACGCACATACAAAGCGGCCAAAGAATGGGCCCAGAGCTCTGACGATGAGTCAGAACAAAGAGAAACTTGCAACCGGGATCGACAGGAGGTCCCAAACAATGACATGATCTCCAGGACTGATGCTGAGGCAGCTGTGCGAGCTGCCGAAGAAAAGGTTCAGAGATGATATGAAGCTCATCTCCAGGAGATTAATGAAAGTAGAGTTCGTCCTCTCAGGACCACTGCTAGTGAGCAGGAAACATTAGATCTGTCCCCAAAGAAGAGAAGGGGACAGAAACACACTGGAGTCAAAGGCAAAGACCCGGTTGGTGCATTAGTTGATCACACGCTGGGAAGATCATCTGCTACTAGAGAGAGATGCACTACATCCAAAGCCATGGATCCGGTGCGACAAGTGGCTCCCAAAAACTACATCAGACAAGCATTAGGGTGGCTGGACAAATCGTCCAAATCAACAGGAAGGCCTACCTTCAGAGACAGCTCGGATGAGTCGAGCGATAATTCCAGTGACTTCAGTTCATCGGATGAGTCCTCGAGCTCCTCCTCGATGTCAACTTCGAGCTCCTCAAATGGAGGCAACAACTCAAGATATCGACGGGCTAAGGCCAAGAAAAGACGGGAATGCTCCAGGAAAAGGAGCACCCTCAAACCAATACCACCGGTAACTTACGATGGCTCTCCTGATTCGAGGGCGTTCCACCAATTCCTAATGGAAGGGACGGCCTATGTCAAAGATGGGAAGGTCAAAAGGAAACGTCAAGTTTACATCCTCACGCATCACCTGAAAGGGAGAGCCCGTGAGTTCTACGTTGGGAAGGCTCCACCTTGTCACTAGGTGGCTACTGATGGTAGGAAGTGAAGTCTAACCCTGGGAAAATTGCTACTCTAAGGTCCTTCCAACAGGGTCTGAGACCTCCAGAACCCCGATCCTAACTAAGAATGACCCCTAAGAAGTCCCTGATGCCAAACATCCTAATACATATACCCCCCCCTAAAATGCGACACTCCAGGGTCGCTGAAGTCTCCAAAAAAGAGGTCTATCAATCTAGACTTGGTTGTGGTCTTCTGACTCCGCTAATAGAGTGCCTGTTCAGGGCAAAAACCGTCTTAGGCATCTTGCGTGATACCATCCTGCCATGGGAAATCCCTCCAAGGTCTCCAGCAAATATGAATTTGTTCATTTTGTGATGACTCGATGAGGCGCTGACCATCTCGGAATGATCTTTTGAGACGACTTGAAGTTGTTATCGATTTTGCTAGCGTAGACTTGAATGAGTTGTCCAGGTTTGAAAAGTACCTCACCTTGGAGTTCTACTACTACTCGTTGATTGAATGCCGCCTTCCATTTGATGGTGTTGGCCACTGCACTTGTGAGAGCGTCTGTCCATTGTTGCGTGACGTATGCTGAGTGTACATGGATGTCGTGAGGGCTGAGTTGATTCGTCGTGTCTTCGAATGGAGTGTGAGGAGTGTTGATAACGAGACCTAAGAGTAATTCTTTGGGTGAGAACTTGAAGGACGGTAAAATGCGACTGTTGAGGTGTTCAATGGCTGAGTCAAAGTGGTCTGACCATTGCGCAGGAATGGACTCTGGGTCTATCTCGGTGCTGTTGTCTTCTCTGAGATGTGGAGCACACATGTACTTGAGTTGTCCTAACAATAGCCTGTTAGTTCCTTCTACTAACCCGTTAACCCAAGGAGCATAAGTGGGGGTGACGAAGCGGTTTTTCCTGTTTTTCTCGCACCAGGTCTTGACCTCCTCGTTGTCGAAATGTTTTCCTCCATCGGTCATGAATGGTTTCGGGGAGTTGAAGTTATGTTGAACAGTTTTGAGTCCTGCGATAGTCGATTTTGCGGTACCGTGGTTCTTGAGCTGAAATCCCCAAACAAACTGTGAGTATGTATCCATGATAAGAAGAATGTTGTTAGAACCCCCTTTTGATTTTGGCATTGCTAGATAGTCAGCCACAAAGAGTTCGAAAGGGTGTCGTCGCACTATGGGTTCAAGTAGTGAGTTCAGGTGTGTCGTGCCGAAGTTCTTGCATTGTCCACAGTTGAGGATGGCCGTGGTGATTGAATGGTCTAGACGAGGGCTGCAGATGCGATCAATGAGCTGTAATTTGATCATGTTGCGTCCCCAATGTCCATGTTCCATATGCTCCTTGCGTGCAAGTTCAGTTGCTTCTTCCTGGGACACACACTCCAGTCTACTGTGCACTCTGGTGGATGAGTCGTTGGGCACCTTCCAAAGCTTGTCATCTTCGATGAAGAACTGTTGGGCTCAGTGACATGCACGTCTCTTGACATTCACTGGTTTCTCCAAGTCGAGGTCGCATAGCGCATCAACGATTTCCAGGAATAAGGGCTCATGTTGGAATATGGTGCAAAGATCTATAATGTGCGCATTATTTGAGTTCATTGTGGCTAGAGACAACATCACCTCGAATAAGTCTTGAATGATTCCCCTCATAGCTTCCCAGTCCGCATTAACAGTCCATTCAGCGCCATCTCCAGGTGATGGTTCTCTTGTCACGAAACTTCTGCTCAGCCCATCTGCTGCTGTGTTGGTTACACCTGGGCGATGGCATACATCCGTGATGTGGTAGGCTAGGATGCCGTCCTTCCAACGAGCATGTGTGGTACTTAACTTAGAGCTGAGTAAAGTGTCCCTTAATGCTTGACAATCCATTTCTATTTCGACTGGTGAGCCCCAAATGATGTCGGAAAACTGATCTAGTGCAAATTTCAGTGCAGCAAATTCTAAGAGGTAGGGTTTGTACTTCTCTTCGGTGCTAGATGTTCGTTTAGATGCGAAGGCAATGGGGTGGTTGGCCGTGACTATGGTTCCGGATGATAGCGTCGTCGTGTGTTTCTGGCTAAGGATCGCGCCGAAACCTTCTTGACACCTGTCTGTTGTGATAATGAAGGGTGTGCCATTGAATCGGGGACTTTCAGGACCGGTTCTTCAACTAGAATCTTCTTGAGGTTCATGAACGCCTCGGTGTGACGAGGGCCCCAGCGTGGTTTGAGTTGCATTGTTCGAAGATGTTGTCAATACCAGAATCTACCTGCACGTTGTCCTTCTGGAGGCGTGCCAAAACAACGTACGAGGTCTGTGAGGGGTGCTGCTTTCCTTGCGTAGTCTTTAATCAATGATCTGAAATATCCAGTTAGCCCAAGAAATTGCATAAGGTTATGTACCATTGTGAAAGAGTAATAGCGACTAGGCTTGTTAGAAACTAGCGCTACTTATCCAAATAGGCGTGAGTGTAGTATTCGACCCAAGAGGACTGCTATTGAAGCAACTCCCTTCAAATATGCAAGGGTAGTGATGATGCGAAGGGCTAATAACCTATAGCGACCTAAGACCAAAAACCAATGAGTAGCGCTGTAGCGATCAGCGACTAGCGACAAGTGAGTTCCGACAGAGAAACGTGCGTATAAGTGAGGAGCGCTATGCAAGTTGTCCTATGCGATAGCACTATGCGACGTCCGACTAGCGACAGCAAGAAGAAATCAAAAGAAGGGAAAGCGAGGAATAAGGTATGATAGTGCAAGTGGAATGCCCGATAGCGACTAGATTATAGCTCGACTACCAATAGCGATCCTGATGTTGCGAAAATCAAACTTATGAGGGAACTTTAGTGATGCGCACTCAAAGCAAGTCAAGCGACACGCGATCAGAGAGATTGGCAAGAGCGGAATCGATTGCACCTAACACTAGGATATAGCGACTAAAGTGACTCCGACACCAGCAAAGGTCCGTGGAAGGGAAGTACTGTACTGTATGTGCGATGGGTCATTTTATCATACTGCATAAAAGTTTGGGAATGCATAGGCGAGAATAGTAGCAACACTGGCGAGGGCACAATGTAGTGATAGGTAACAAGACATGCAGCGCAGCGGAACATGAGGATACATGTAATAAGACCTGCGACTGATAAGTAGCGACATTTAAGGAAAAATAATGCACCAGCGGAGGTAGGTGGACATAGGCAGGACATGGGAGGACAGAATACCTAGGTGTCAGGCCGGGCAGTGCACTATGGGAGAAAAGCGGTTCCAAAGCGGATAGCTTGGGAGCTGAATAGCACTGGTGACTAGCACGTTACTCCTTTCCTCTAGGTAAGGCAAAATGTGCCTATGACACTCATACGCGCCTAGCACTGGTATGATTGTCACACCGTGTTGGGTATCTCCCAGTCTACCACTGCCGCTAACTTTGAGAGGTCCGGTCTGATCCCATCCTTTCCAACTCTGGCTCTCGCAAAGACTATCTCAGACATGAATAGCTGGGTCTTAGATGGCGATAGTGAGAGTCGCATTGACCGAACACGTTCGAAGAACTTGTGTAGGCATGCCAATTTTTCTTCAAAGACATTCCCTGCCATACCTGTGTCATCAACGTAGAGTTCAAATAAAAGCCCGATAAGATCTCTTAGCACAATGGCAGCCATATCTCCGAAGCTCATTGGAGCACCCATTAAGCCGAATGGCATGCGGCAGTAACAATCATATCCTCGTCCCTCGGTGTAGAGCGCTAAGTACAGCTGAGTGTCTTCATCCACTGGGATGATGTAAAATCCTGCTGCAAAATCGATTATGCTGACCCATCGATGTCCACTGAGACGCTGTTGTTTCGCCCTGATATCACCTTGAGGCAGAGGTGGTATCTGGCTGGCGTGGTTGATCTCTGCAAAGTTTTGACAGATCCTCCACTTCGGTGCGTTGTCCTTGTTCGTGTTGGCGGTCTTGGTCGTTGGTTGTTCAGGTAAGTCGTCCCGTGTTGGTAGCCCATGTGCAGCACATTGGTCGTTGACACGATGCAGTAGCTCTTCTAGGGGAAGGCTTCCCAGTCCGTGTGCCTTCTGGGCACATACTGTAGGGCTGGCTGCTTTAATGTCCTCTGGGGCAATGCGGCAGATAATGCCCACGGTTTCCAGCTCATTGAGTCATTTGTACAGGAATGCACACTGAGGTGGGGTGAGGGGGCGTTGGGTTACCTTGGTGTTGAACTTTGTGCCTTCTGGGAATGTGAGTTTGAACATCTTGAAGTCCACTGGGAATACTTTGCTAACTGCTAACGCAAAGGTGTCAGCGAATTCTGCACATAGGTCACACACCTGTTTCCATTGCTCTGGGCTGAGGTCGTCGCCGATCTTGATCTGTTGTAGGATTTCTGTCTCTTTCTGGCCTGAATGGGTTGGTATATCTTGAGTATACTCCTGCTGTTGGCGATGGGTTGGGAAACTCGGGTATCTCACCCAAATTGTGGTCCTCCAGCTCCTCCAGTATGGGCCATACTGGTACACTCATTGATGGATCGTTTGGCGAGAGATCGCTTGTTGGATATGTGATGGGTGAGCAGATTGTGTTCATCGAGGTGTCAGTTGCTAGGGTCAGTTGTGGCTTATGGTTGGCGACGACTACGTGGGATAACACATCAGTGTATGCTTCAAGTCGTTTGTTGGTACATTGCGAGGAAACTGTGAATATAAAATGTTCGTTAGTAGACGTTGGTTCAGAAGGTGAAATGCACGGCTTAGGGTCTGAGGGAATGGTGATTGTTAAGAAAACGGGGTCATTCTTATGTACTTGGTTCTTGTTATTAGTTTGAAGTGACTTAGGTTGCGGTGCTGCCGGGGAGTTAGTGATATTCTTGATTATGTACGGTTGAGGCGATGTTGGGATTGTAATAGTGTCAGTTCCATAGTCGTGCCTGGCCTGCAATTGTTCTAAAAGGGGTTTTCCTATTAATACTTTCCAAATGCCACCACCGTCGAAGACTTCGAAGGAAGTGCGAACTTTCGCCTTGTTCCATTAGAGTGTTCCCATCCAAACGCCATGTGATGGTACTTCGGCACCGTTTGCCATGCGGAGCATTCGATTCGATCTTGTAAGCTTTCTGAGGTGTTTTGATGCTTTGTTGAAAGTCTTGAGGTCAATCGCATTGATCATAGCTCCGTCATCAATGTTTGCTTGAAAGCATGATGTTTTTGCCCCTGGTCCATATAGAACTATTTGCGTGACAAATGGGGTGCTTGCAGGCGTGTGATCAGTTGTGTGATCGTTATCTGAAATGGCGTAAACATCGACAATTGGGTGGTCGTTTTCACCAGAGTAACAGTCAGAAGCAGGTTTGGATTCACAAGTAGATACAAGACTTAGCGTGACGAAGGAACTATTTGTAGAGGTGTTGTGGTCTACTGGGTCCAGTACGGTAACCCACAAACTCAAGGTGTCAGTGTTTGCTATGGAATGGGAATCAACATGCAGGGAAGTACTAAGGGGCAAATCTGGGCAGTCTGGCATAGAAATGGAACTAAAATTGGAATCAGAAAAGGAAGGTCCAAGAGAAACGAGTCAGGTTCAGGGGTTAAGGGCTCTACCGGTGCTCACTGTACATCCGAGTCAGGTGAAGTGACATTGATCGTGGGCATGACAAGATCGTCATCCGCTTCTTCGATGTTCAGGGTCTCAGGTGTTTGGGAGTTTGGCGAGTTAGGTGCAGAGGTGTTGAATTGTGATGGAAATGCAGAGGTGGGGACTGAGGGTAAGCTGCTGGTTGGGATGTCTGGGGTACTGGGGAGCGATGAAATTGTTGCCTTTGGGACCGCAGGTGAGTCCCCTACTGCTGTGGTCCAAACTCATTTCCCTGTGACGTGGTACATTTTGTATGGATCAGCGAAGTACGAATATTGAGGGTAGGCCTGAGTTGGTGCTGTGTAAGGGCTCTGTGGCATGGTATATTGAGCTGGTGCGGCATTTGCCACAAATTGGACGTTCGACGTTGGTCCTGGTGTGGTTGGTGCTGTCAACGTTCTGGATACCAGTCGTGATACTGTCTCTCTCCACTTCATCTCCTGCATCGGCACGGCCTCATTGGGGCAGTCGTATGCTTGATGTGGTGGTGTCATTGCCATACCACAGTTGAAGCATTCTCTGGACCAGATGGGTGACGTCCCGGGTTTCAGCGGATATGGTCGTTGTGAGTTGGGTATGGCATCTGTCCCATGCTGCGTGTGCCACTCCTGGATCTGTTGGGCATATGCTTGTTTGCCAGCATCAGAGTTGGGATGGTGTGGGATGGTAGCATATTGTGCAGCAGTTCTCATGCGGTCTGCAGGTGAGCCTCCTCTTCGTGATGGTGTCTGTGGGTACCCCCGATAGCTGTAGAACAGGTTTCCACGTGTCATTGGGGCTGCAGGTGCGAATAGGTGCGCAGCTTGTGGCGTCTGTGGGACTTGGGGTGTTAGAGGCAGTGCTGGGGGTTGAAATGATGATGGAGGTGGGGGTGCAGCTACTTGAGTCTGAGGGGGAGGCATCAGTGGTGTGTTGTAGCGGTAACTGTATCTGTATGGGGGTGGTGCGGTGTATGAAGGTTTGTTTGGCTGTGGGGAAGGCTGGGTTGCCTTGCGATCAATGATCATTTGGCTTTGCAGTTTGTCCACGTCTTCACGAAGCTTCCATTCCATAGTTAGTCGCTGTTTCGCCCTCTGTAGCTGTGCCGCAGAGACCTTGGTGACAGTCTGCTTCGAAGTCCGTCCAGGATGTATAGTTGTCTTCCAGGAGGTCACATAAGATTTCTGTGGTGTTGTCCAGTACTGACGTCCAGCAAGTGGCATTGGGTATCATTGAAACCTTGTGCCATCCACGCTATCTTCTTTGCCCTTTTCATGTGCCCCCATTCTCGACCTCGATCTTCCTCTATCATCACTCCAATTTTGTCCTCTTTCAATACTAGTGCCTTGATCTGTTCCTTCTTCTGAGCTACTGTGAGGGTGACCTGCATTGGCTGAGGCCATCGAAGTCAGAAGGCCGCTTGGAATACTGCCCATGTCGTCTTATCTGTCACTGGTAGGTTCGCGTACCAACTCTCCGCTGGACTTGCCTGCAGCACATTGAAGTTCGAAGCGATTGAGTTTGTCAGTGTCTAATGCAGAGGTGGGAAAGGAGAGCTCATATTTTCGAAGCTAGTCTGTAGGTTCTTCGCCTTTCTTGTAATATCCGTAAAAGCTGGGTTGGGGCGTAATAGTTGTGTTAGACATTGTGATGCTGGGTGTGGAGGGAACCGGAACTGATGGAAGTGGGGCTTGGGGTACTTTGGCTAGGGTGAGGCGCTGCTTTACAAACCGTAAATCAGTGTTATGAGTTTTGATATTAGTTTTAAGAGGTGGAAGGATTGGAAGAGCTGAACCAAAGATAATCTTTCTGGGGGGTGAGAGCTGGCTATCTGACGCTGTGTGTCTGAGTGCCGGTGCATCGTCAAGTGAAAGTGAGATCTTGCGCAGACAATAGAGGTCATCCAAAGTGATGGCCGTGGTGCCTGCTCACTCTAGTCACCAGGTGGGAAGGCTCCGCCTTGTCACTAGGTGGCTACTGATGGTAGGAAGTGAAGTCTAACCCTGGGAAAACTGCTACTCTAAGGTCCTTCCAACAGGGTCCAAGACCTCCAGAACCCTGATCCTAACTAAGAATGACCCCTAAGAAGTCCCTGATGCCAAACATCCTAATACAACATAAGGGAAGTGTCAGGAGACCCTTACCGATGGAGACTAAAGGACTTCTTCACGGAGTTATTCAATTATTGCTTCCCTGTAAACTTCAGAATGGAACAACACGTGAAGCTAAATAAGTGTTACCAAAACAATAAGACGGTCCGAGAGTACATCTACGAGCTCAGCGAGCTCTGTAACATGATAGGTGATGTTGAGGACCGTCAGACGGTCTCTCGGTTTTGGACGGGGCTAAACTCCAGCATCCAAGCCGAGCTCTGGAAGAAAGAGCTGAAACCCGAGTCATCATCATTTCGGGAGGTTCGAAACGCTGCCAAAGTAATCGAAATTGCCCACTCGGTACCTAACCGGGAGCGGCGAGGCAAAGACAGGCCCCAGAATCCTCCAAACACAGCTGGCTCAAGTAGTAATCAGCCTGTGACGCGACGAAACGGGGACAGACCTCGAAATCAGGACAGTGACCCATTCCGTCAAGGGAACAGGAACCTGAGGCGACATGGTGAATGTGATAACCCACGAACCGAAGGGGGAGTTGACAACCCCAACACCCATAAACCGCAACGAGAGGGTGGAAGAGGTCGAACCTCACTACCTGAGCGAAGGAACGATAAATTAAGCCAGGTGGAGAAAGACCATCATGCGGCCGAAGGGCTATGTTATGTGTGTCATCAGCCAGGGCACATCTCCAGGAATTGCCCAGAAAGGACTCACATGAAGAAAACAGGTGCAGGCAATGCACCTCCAGCTCTAGGCAACTATAGTATTGAGGTTAATCTTGAAGAGATCGACCGCCGGCGACACATTGAGGCAATGGAGTCTAATCATGCTACCCCCTTTGGGGCACTAAAAAGCTCTGTTATGGGGATGTATTCAGCTAGACGAAAGAAACCTATAAAACCTATAAGGAGAACTAAAGCACCAACAGTGCTACACGACAGAACAGCCAGAGAGGAGGACTGGGAGGCTCAAGGAGCCAGGCCAGACACCATGGGAGATCCCTTGGCCATGCGGGCCAAATACATGTTAAACAGGGGATTCTACCCTGGCGACGATAACCCTTTTATGCCCATTCCCCTTGAACGGTTCACGGTCTATTGGGTGTCAGAAAAAGGAGCATGCCATCATAGACCGAGAGGATCAGAGAAATCCAGAAGTAACTGTACCTACCTCGTTGTTGCTGAACCCATACTTCCCATTAACTGACTGGTATGCACAACAAGTTGGAGAACTCAGGGGCCTAGACCCAGAGTTCGTCAGACAGTGGATACAGGGACTGGATGGGGGGAAACTCACCATGGACACTCCTCTCGCCACACGAGCAGAACAGCTGTTAACTAATTGAGGGCGTTATCCTGGGGACAGCGCAGATTATGGGCAGCTAAATCGCTTTGAGTGTTTACGTCAACTGGATGGAACATATGAGATTAGAGACCGCGTACGGGCCTTTAATACTGTCGTACCGGTGTGGTGAAAGAAATAGTAGTCAGCTAGATATACCAACTAACTTACTAAATCCTAATGGGTGTGAGTGCAGTACGTCGACCCAAGGGGACTGCTATTGAAGCACTTCCTTCTAATAGTGCGAGGGAAGAGAAAGGAAGAAACTAAGATCTAAGACCTGAGATGTTCCGACAGGACCAAAGGTCCGAGTCCGAGAATATCCGACGCAATGTGGGATACCGATGGTACACCCAATGCAAGATGCCGAAGAGGGACACCGACGCGAGACACCAATGCAAGGTGAGGAGTCTGATGCTGATGAGCGGCAGGTAAGTCTAGGCTGAGGTAAGGAGAGTCTAGGTATGGGTTGCCAATGTAAGACTACCAGTAGCGGTCCGGATCTCACAAGGCCTAGGTAAAGAAACCTTAGATAGAGTGCACTTAGAGCGGTCAAGGCACATCCGATGATAAAAGCAAGGAGGATCAATTGCACAATCAAAGACTAACTAAGGTGACTCCTACAATGGTACCAGGTATGTCCAAGGAAGGGAAGTAAGTGATAATATGAAACTTGAGTCCTATTTATCTAACTGTGTGAATGTCCGGAATCACACAGGCAAGAGTAGTAGCGAAACACGAGGTACTCAGGTCAATATGTAATAAGGCTCGTGAGTGCTGCAGCCATGGGAATACATGTAATAACACATGCTGTTCGTTCAGTAACGGTAAAATAAGCTTAAAACGCACCAATTGAGATAGGTGGACATGGGCAGGACATGGGAGGATTCGGTACCAATGGGATGGAACGGTCAGCCGAAGTGCGCGAAGGCCGAATCAATGAATAAGGGACAGTAAAGACAACCCTGGCTCTCTGCAAGAGACCGAGGCCGCGGATCTGTATCAGCTGAGTCAGACATAGACCGGTGCGACATGGAAGAGTTGAGTGAGTTGAGACTTTGCAAGGAAGTGATGTATGGATGTGATGTGGACTTCTAGGCTGCTTGACTCCTATAGTGAAATGGGGTTCTGCAAGGCTAGCCCGAGCTTGAACACAACACCGGTAGACCTGTTGTTGAACGAGAAGTTTCAATTAGCCCAATGGTACGAAAAGCGTCTGCAGGGTGCTCACGATGAACTCTGCGACCGATTAACGGGGAACACACAGGAAGCCAACATACTTAGACTGTTGGACAGAGGCCCACTGTCACCAGTAGAGTGTCAGCTGGAAGAGGTAGCCCGGAAGATATACACTCCCTCACCTGATGCGAAGTTGTGATATGATGAGGCACACCTGTTTGCCCTGGAGCTGAATGGGCAGCAAATCCCAGCAGGAACTTATCCGGCCTTGCAACGAGGGTCAGCGATAACAAAGGACTTTAAACGACTCATACCTAAACCAGTGGTAGTTATAGTACATATCAATGGGAGCCCAGCACGGGCGCTCATTGACTCTGGATCTTTATCTGACTTCATGTCAGTAACCCTGGCAGAGCAATTAAAGGTGCCTTGGAAAGAACTCACCAAGCCGATTGTAGTCCAGTTGGCAATCCAGGGATCACGATCAAAGGTGAACTTTGGGACCAGAGTCCAAATGGAGTACCAGACTATCAAGGAGGACCGGTACTTCGACGTCATAAACCTGCAGAACTATGATTTAGTCCTCGGGACCCCATTCTTATACCAGCACAAGGTGATGATGGGGTTGAATCCACCTAGAGTGGTAATTTGGAGCGCAGCACCTCTACTGATGAAAGGGAGTGAGGTGACGACTTTGGAGTCACGAGCCACGTAAATACATGAGGAGAACCTCGAGAGGGTACGGGATCACCTGTGGGATTTAGCGCAACCTTTGTGTGCGAAAGCTAGTGAAACGAGCTTACCTCCTTAAGGGCGATTGACCACACTATTCCCCTGATAGATGAAAAGAAAATATACCCGTGGTGGCCATCATGATGTCCTGAACCACTGAGGCCCCAATGGGCAGAGAAGAGGAAATCCTACTTGGCCTCAGGCTGATGGCAGGTGACAAGCGCTGGTAACACAGTGCCGATGTTGTTCATCCGAAAACCTGGGTCCGATCGCCTATGCACTGTTGTGGAACTAAGAGAATGGAATAAGAACACACAGAAGCTGACCTCACCTCTGCCTGACATGGAGGGCATATTGCGGTGCGTGGCGCAGAAGCCTTATCGCTCGCTGATGGATGGTCAGGATGCCTACGAACAGATCAGAGTGATACCTGAACACGTACCTCGAACTGCAATGACCACCCCAGACGGCAACATGGTCAGTCACGTCCTGCAGCAGGGCGATTGCAACGTGCCAGCAACATACCAGGCAGTGATGAACTACCTGTTTGGTGAATACCTAGGGAAGTGGATGGATGTCTATCTTGATGATATTATTTTCTATTCAGACACCCTGGCAGAGCACATTGAGCACGTCAAAACGGTGCTGCAAATATTAGAAAGGGAGAAACTCTACCTTAGCGAAAAGAAGCTGAAGTTCCTGTGCAAGGAAGTGAAAATCCTAGGCCGTATTGTGGATAATAACGGGATTAGGATGGACCCAGAGAAAGTGGACCGTGTGTTGAACTGGAAGGTCCCGGCAAACCACGACCTCTGTTGAGGGTTCATCGGCTCAGTGGGGTACCTCGCGGATGACATCTACAAGGTTCGAATACCATTAGGTGTGCTGTCTGAGATAACGGGGGATGCCGTACCTTTTAGGTGGGACTTCACTCAGCAGCGTGCTTTTGAGGAAGTGAAACAGTATGTGGCGACCTGTAAGCCACATTGTCGGGTACCCCTGCAGTATGGTAAGGATGCACCTCACATCTTTGTGATGACGGACACCTGTCTTGGTGGCATAGGTGGCATTGTGGCACAGGGCGCAGACTGGAAGTCAGCTAAAGTTGCTGCCTTTTTCTCAGCCAAACTATCTTCGGCCCAGCGAAATTACGCCGTCCACGAACAGGAAATGCTGGCCGGGGTTGAGACAATGCTTCGCCATCGTGATATCCTCCAGGGTGCCTGCTTCACGTGGCTGACGAACCACAAAGGTTTGATCCATCTGCTAAACCAAAAGAATGTCAGTGGGCGTCAGGCGTGCTGGATAGAAAAGATTGGCGAATTTGAATTTGAGGTCAAGTACATACCCGGGGAGGAGAACCTCCTTCCTGATGCCCTATCTCGAATGTATGCATTCAACGCGCCAGGCACTGTCCGTGCTCGGACAGAGCACATGGAGTTCAATGCTGTGGAGGGTCTGCCTAGCTCGCTGGCCCACCTCATCTCCATGCCTCTTATGGTCGGTGGAGAGGCGCTGGCGACTACGACACGACGGAGTGCAAGGGTTGCTGCATGTCCAGCAGTCACCCCAGCCTGGTTGCCTGCGGGATGGCAGGTCACCACTCCCAAGTCAGCCAAGGAGGCCGGGCACCATGTGTCGAATAACTCCTCAGGAGCTTCTTCTGGGGGGAACCAACGACCAATACTGGGCGAATCTGATAAGGCAGGTCACCCAGTGGGGCAAAAGAAGGTGACTGTGCCACCCGCGGAAACAGGAAGGCCTGACACTTCGGCTGAGTTTGCCAGAAGGGTGCACAATCATTTCGTTCTGCGTGGCCCTGGTGAATTAAAGAAGGAGGGAAAGGGAGATGACACTCACCTCCCTGACTTGACAACACGAGAGCCCACTGAGGAGCACGAGGAACGATTCATTCCACTTGCTCAAATCCTGACACACTTGGGTCTAGATGAGGACAAAACGCTAGAAGACATCAAGGGTCAATATCACCTTGACCCATTCTTTCAGAAAGTGATGGACTCACCAAAACACTTTCGCAACTTCAAAGTTGACGACGAGGTTGTCCGCATCCGACTAAACAACAGGGTTCTACTATGCATCCCTGACATAAAGGTCGAAGGAAGACG